TTTATCAATTATAATGATGTTTTAGGAAAATATGAGTAAAAGAAGAACTGCTTATTATGGGAGATTTCAATTTACATAAATATTGGGAAAAGACACCAGGTTCTGTATGTACAGTATGTGATGTCAGCAACTGAAACCACAATGACAGACATGGCTATTGATTGTTTCCTTACTCAGTTTTCATAGTACCTTCCCAAATTTGAATTATTAATCTAGTCTTTTCAAACCATTACAATTAAGTAAAAACAACTGAGGTGAACCATGAGGAAAATATTAGATTAATATACAGTCGTTTGATAAGAACCATACTTACTGTACCATTTAAAACATGAAAAAAACTACAGTAGTAGAAATGCAAAAAACAAACAAACAAACACAAGTGATAACAAGTTTTTTCCAGTGCAAAAGATGGGTAATTATTGAAAAAAGCATCTCAGGGATAAAAATAAGAAGATTTTATCAGACTAGCTGATGCATTAAATTAATATTTCACTCAGGTATTCACCAAGGAAGAAACTGACATTCTAGATAGAATACCTTTAGCATAATAAGACAGTTGTATTACAAATACTAGAAACACTAAAAGTAATCTCCAGGGCCAGAAAGCATTCCATCAGTTGTATAAAGATAAAGTCCAATGATTGGAAAGTAGATAATGTAGCACCCATTTATAAAAAAAAAAAGAAAAACTCAACCAAGCAAATAAAAAGCCAATAAGGTTTACTTATACTACATGTAAGGGAGTAGAAATAATAATTAGACCTAAAAATGGGAATTATCAGTATGGCAATAAGATTCTAGGGAATAGTCAACATGGATTGATAGGTCTTGATAAGCTAACCTGTTAATAAACTAGTCAAGTTCACAGATGTTATTGAACGTGGAGGATCAACAAACTAATGGGAATTTAAAAAAGTAAAATTCAAGACTGGGTAAGCATGTCATAGATTCCTTTAAATATAGTTTAGTGTAGATTGTGAAAATCAAACAAAACATAAGACAGCAGGTGCTTATGTTGGCAGATTTTTTGTGGGGAAGAAATAAAAGGGCAAACATATGCTGGGATATACATAGTTAAACAGAGAATTTAAGTGAAGAGATGTGCTGAAATACAGTAATAAGAATTTTAGAGTATTGTGCAAAACTTTTGGTAACCACATTGACTAAAGATATTTCTTCTCTGGAATCAGTGCAGAGTACAACAAGATAATGTACTGTATGTTCTTAGGCTTAAAGGAATTGTCCTACGCAGGGAGGATATTTCTTAAGAACTGTACTCAACTTCTGAGGAATTGCAGAATCAATAGTGAAATATGAATCAGAGGACAAAAATGTAAACTAAGGGAAGTGCATTTACATCTGAGAACAGCAGGTACCTTTTTAAATATAACTTACATGACATTAATCACCCAGACATATTATCAAAGCTGACACCCTGTCTTCTTCCATGAAATGGCTGGATGAGATCCTTGGTTCAATTAGTGACTAATAACCAATAAATGGTCTCCTCACATTTCTAATGTTTCTTATGTTCTTAAGAGAGTAAGTCGTTAATAAAGACAGCACCCTGCAGCCCTTTCAACAAAAAGTGTTGAGAGAATATTGGTATTGAAAAGGCACACACTGTGCTCTCACATTACAGGACCATTTGCAACTTGTGATTTTATAGATGAGTCTGGAGGTTGGTTTAACTCAATGTGACTATTTATCATTCTTTATGGTCTCAGATATATGCTTTATCATGTATCTTCAGAGTCTTAATGTGTGCTTTCCACGGATACATTTAATAAATTAGAATTAAAATTGAAAATGGTGATAAATTGCAGGCTACCAACTTCAGATGACATTTATTGCTTTCTGCACTTGTGTCATTAGCAAATTAGGTTCATAGGAGAGCCACGCTCAGTCAATAAGATGATCCTGAATCTTTAGCTCTTGATGAATATCAGTTCACGGCAGCCAAATGTATTTCACAAGAATTTCTGTCAAAGCTAATGAGGCTCTTTTTCATTCTATAACATGAATTTACACCAGTCAGTTCAAAGTCTGCTTGAATGTCTTCTATAAATATGTTAGTCACCTTTTAGCCGTAATTCTATGCAGAATTTTGGCATTGCAAAAATGTTTTGAAAATGATCTGTATTAAAGTGTTTTCTTTTTTGTCAGGCTAGACTAAAGAAATCTAGTAATGCAGCTGTCTGTGTGAAAAAAAAAAACTATGAGTACTGTACATAGGAGGAATTTTATTGGTTAATCCCCTTGTCAACAAACTATCCTTTTTTTGTACAGTATGTTCAAAAATAGTAACCCGACTCTATCATCATTCTAAAAGTGTATAAATTTAACTACAAGGTGTTCTAGGTTTCTAGGTGTACATTATTTGTATTTTTATGAAATTACTAACTTTGAGTTTGCCATTTTTATGCTTTGGCCTGCTTTTATGGACTTTTAGATAAGATAGGAGAATTTCAATTTCATAAACTGCAGAAATTACACACATTACAGCTGCAAAACTTACACTAGTATTGGCTGTTTGATTAAAGAGCCAATACTAGTATTGTGATAATACTAGTTTTTTTTGTAATAATACTAGTTTTATTGTGATCCTTCCCAATTAATTATAAAATGATCAGGTTTTTGAATGAGGACTTTATGTCTGTTTCTGTGGTAGTTATCTTGGGATGAGGTCTGTTTAATTGATTCCCTTAGCCCGATGGCTTTCAATAAATGACTTTTATGAGAAGCAAAGCAGCATCTCTTGTGAGGAGCTGAATGTCCTTGAAGTTTACTAACAATTATTATACTAACAATTTTACTAATAATTATTATGGAAATGTTGACCTTATATTTATCAAAGCATGTCTTTATTCATAAAATATACCTGGTCTTGGGTGCAGTGTGTGTCCCTTTTTCATCATGATATTGCTCAGTTCAGAGCACACAAATTAGTAAAATGAAGCAATCTACGGTATCACACCCACTAATGAACATAACCTACATGAAAATTATTAATGCAAGTCATTTTATCTTTGTTAAAAGAACTAATTCCAAATAGAAATTTCTGAAATGAAAGTTTAGGGTGCAGCTTCAACACTGAGTCCTGTACTCCTAAGCATGTGTATTTGTATCTATTCTTAAGCCATAATTCCATTACAAATCAGTCTAATCTTTGGCAAACACCAGTTTGTAAGTCAGTCACTTGGAAAAAAACAAACAAGTGAAAAAACATCGCCACATGCCAGCTTGTTTGTTCCTTAAACATTTTATCTGCACCCATTTCAGATATTCAGTAGCAACCTTCTTAGGTTTATTGGCTCTGACATATGCTATCTCCAGCTCTTGTGGAATCCTTCACAATCTGTTTTCTCTGACATTTAGTCTCTTTCTGTTAATGCCTTCCTGCCGTTCATGGATTAACTTCTCTTTTTGCTCGGTGTGCTCCATATCACAGCACTAAATATTGCATCCTTTGCAATTTTTTGTGCACTTTTCTTCGGAAAAATAAAACACCTGAGGTACTTGCCCATAGAGGCAAAAGATAAGCAAGTTATTGGATGTGTCCAACAGCTTGCAACTGCTGAGAGGCTAAATTATTGCAAGGGTTTTTTTTTTTAATCTGCAGGGATGCATTGGATAAAAATGGCCACAGGTGGAATGCATCATAAAATATAATAATAGGTCTAGAATACAGAATGTTTGGAATTAATAGTAATTAATTAAATTAATTAGTGACAAATAATTACAATTCTTTATTACTGTAACTGGCCTTAATAGATGTACTGTATTAAGGCCTTAATAGAGGTGTTCAAATGCCCATATTACTGTACAACACAGTTTGCTCATTACATTTATTGTAAGTTACTATGAATACAAGCCAAATTAGCAAAAAATAACAAAGAACACCAACCACAATAATGATGACAACATCAACTGAAGAAATAAAGTGAGAGATATGTTCCTGGGCACCAACTGCAAGATGTCACAAATCAGTATGTTGGTACACTTAATGAATGTCAGACATTTGGCACTGAACATGAATAGTCCTGTTAGTGAAGAGTGGTACTGTACTTCTGAGGATTCATTAATGTCCCCATCAATGAAATCAAATGAAACAGTGAAAAATGGAAAACATAAAAATGTTGGCAATGCCCTTGAATGACCCTGCTTACAATGTATTAGTCTATTGGAAAAAAAAATACAAGCAGTATGGTTTAATATTCAAAGAATATGTCACATGCAAACAAATACAAATTACTGAGGCTTTATTATGGGAAGAAAAAAAGTTTTGAATAATGTATTCAAAATCCTCAAACTATTATTATGAGCTTTACTTGACTCTCAAACAACAGAAAAAAAAATGAATTAGTGAAATTACAAATTTATTCAGGACTGAGAAAACAACAGGTGTTTTTTTTTTTAATTAGTGCTTGGTGTAATAAAGACACTGAAACACTGACTTAAAAAATCTTGAACCTAAAAAAAAACTGCAACTGAGACGGTTGGGTTTTACTGAATCCTTAATATTGATAAGCATTCATGGGCAGGAGAACAGGCACCTGTGGGTTTCACAACAGGCTAAAAAAACATGGGTGTCCCACATCAATTCACTTTTATTTGGTGAAACTGTAACACTGTGAGAAAATGTATACGGTAATTTAGTGCTTAATTTGAGTCTTTTACAACAATGGTTTCAAGCATTCCCTCAGAAATCCACAAACATGCAGATAAACCTGGACTTCAAGGTAGGAGAACAGGATGGATTTGATAAAATAGTAAAAAGAAAGTTTCAATAGACAAAAAAGTAATTATTTTTGAAGCAGGAGAGGCACATCTATCTATAGTACCTATTATCATGCTGTCTTACACATACTTGGACTTCAGGAGGTATTTTACCTTATGTTCTAGATGCTGGAAAACAGAAGATGGATGTTGAATGGCCTCTTGTCATTTTCTGACTGCCTTTCAAATATTCGTTTTTTTGCCTCAGTGTGAATACTCACCATACACATACAAATTGTACTCTGCACTGCTCTTCCCAAGGTGGTTGCTGGCTTCACAGCGGTAAGTGCCGTTGTCTGTCTTGTTCAGAGCCATAATGGTCAGTTCCCTACCATCGACAATTATTCGGTCAAGATCAGGCAACTCCCCACCATCTTTTGTCCATAGCACTGGGTCAGGTCTATGGAAAACATAAAAGCAAAGTGAAAATAATTCACTAGCAAGCAAACCCTCCAATCAACTTGGTGCAAATCTAACAGGTCTCATGGTGTGTAAGATAAGTGTGTAAGATGTGCAATATGATGACTTCACTCCCCAGGACGTCCAGTGTAATTGAAGCTTATAATATTGTAGACTTTGAAGTATATTTTGAAACTGTGCAGCTAGAGTTAAAAAAAGAAAAGGTTTACAATTCCAGGAAATCAGGCCATGAAAAATGGAGACAGGGTTTTAGAGAAGTAGAATAGGATAGGATAGCTATGGAATGAGTAGAGAATTGCTGGTCACAGTTTAAAGATATTCTGCTTTAAACACAGGGCAGATTCACCCCAAGAGTCCCAATTGGCTTAAGAAATCTATTTGAATTTAAAAATAATGGGATAAGGTAAAATTAGAGGAATAATGAATTACAAGCACAAGTAAAAAAAAAGATATTTAGAAAAGAGAGACATACATTCATTTTCCAGTATTAGAACAGCAAAAGATGAAGTAAGGAATCTAAACAATAAAACTGGAAAGTTCTAGATGCGAAATGGGTGATATATTAAATTAATTAAAATAAATTAATACTTCACTCTGTGTTTACATTGAAAGAAAAAAACATCATGCCTCTGGAATCAAAAGTTCTGTATTAAACAGCTTTAGCATTAAAAGAGTCAAAAGTTTAACATGTGCTAAAAACACATTAAGATGTCTGCAGGACCTGATGATTTCCTACCGGTTTTACATTCATAAGCCATTAACAAAACTTTTTCTGACAGTCAGTTGATACAGGGGTCCACTGACTGAAAAATTGAAACACTGAGCTTGAAGAAATTACTTACGAAAATAACTTAGGTATTGTAGATCATTTTGATTCAGGGTTACATTCATACATAAGTATATTCAAGGATTTTTTTTTAATATGAAACAAGCTATAGTACCTAGCCAAGTTGTTGAAGCCTATACCCTGAATTATTTGAAGAAATGCCTGGATGTAGTCCACAGATCAATTACTTTTTATTAGTTATTAACTACCAAACAGTCTACATGGACCAATGGCCTCTTCTTTTTGGTAACCTTTCTTATATTCTTATGATACAATCCTCCAGTAATTGCTATTTTAAAGTAATAGCAAAGTTGAATTAGGTTAGGTTAATGCACTAAAATGTTAAGTTATGGTTCAGATAAAATGGTTTTGAATTTAGATGTCAAACATGCTTGTTTTAAAGTGGACAAGTGGATTTAAATGAGTGGTGCTGAAATCCAATCCCAGTGGACATTTTGTCGGTGGTTGCTGTATATGTACTGATTCAACACTTCTCCCAGTGACCTAATTCAGCTGATCAGTAGCTTTGCTGGACCATTTTAAATCCTATCAATAATCGTCATCTGATGAATTAAAGAGACCTAGAAAATCTGTTGGATCTTGTCCTCATGGGCTGGAGTTGTACAGCTAGGGTCTAAGGGGTCTGAAAAGTATCCGTATACTTGGAACAATTTACGGTATCTGTGATCAGGTAAACACATGATATGTTGAATTCAGTAGTTTTGTGCTACTTGTAACAAAATAAAAAAAAACTGTTTTGAATCACTTGGTTAATTTATCAGTGATGTATAAGTGTTTATAATATTTGAAACTAAGTGGTAATATAAGAAACTTCAAGTGGTAACAACAAAATACTGTAGGGTTGTGTTACATGTGTAACATACTCTTTTCATTATTATTTCTATCTTATTTCAAGAAGGCCTGTACTACTATGAATCATATTGAAGTAAAGTAGTTTAATTGAACATTGTGTATACAGTAACATCATGAATGAGGACTTTGGAAAATAGGAACAAGCATACTCCATTTCAGTATGTGAATTTCTAAGATGGGCAAACACTATAATGACATTTGACCTTCACTTTTACATATACCTTTCACTTTTCCATAAGCAGCAAATCTAATACAGGGAGCTTTAGCTTCATCAGTCTTTTTTCCTGGTTAAATTCTATTTCACTATTTAAAAAAAATCATAACAAAATATCACAAATCTGATTCCAATATAGCCTCTAAAACAGAAAATGTTTTAATCTAAAATGTATTCTTTAAAGTACCTTTATTTAGTTTTATATAAACTAAGAACTAAGTATATGCTGTACAATAGTCTACCATTTCCAATAAAGTTTATCACAAAACTTCTGAGTTTAACTGTCTTTTAAGAATTACAGTGAAATTTCATCTAATGTATTCAAGCAAGGTACCAAAGAAAGGTCAAATTGGTTGTTAAATGTCATGGATTACAATTTCCCTATAAAATCCTTTTAAATATTAAGCTGTGATTTTTTTTTAACTTAGGGTTATTACATAGTAACTTTGAATAATGGACATTGATTGGGAATTCTAAAACCCAATTGATTTTAGTTGCATGTTAAAATCTTGGAGAATGCCAGAAAGCAACAAAAATGTACAAACAAAAACATTTTGAAAAGAGAAGTAACGCAATGAAAGGGTTATTCTTACAACAGCATGTGTAAATTTGCCTATAGTTTTGACTGTTCGTACAACTAAGCTCTTGATTATGATTATGGTTGTTGATGAGAAAAAAATATTTTTCAAACTAAAAGTAAACAAACTTGATATCTTATTTACAAATTGTCTTATGTCTATTTATACAAATCATTTATAATTATTTACATCCCTTTACATAATTAGCAAGTTTATTTTAATAGCAAAATAATCACAATGAAAATCGGGAAGATAAGAACATTCCTTACAATGTGATGCTGAGAGCTGTTGTATAAAGGAGAAGGGCTTTCATTACAAATTATTTCTTATTTATGACCTTACACACAATGACAACATTATATATCTTTTTTTATAAGACACAAACATGTAGATATGGAATTAATTCCAAATATAAATATTATATCTAACATGGCTACAATAAGTTGAATTTTACCTTCAAAACTTTCATAAAAACAAAATATCAGCTAAAATAAAAGGTTTCAATGTTTCAGTTTTACATGTTTGTTTTTATTCTGTTAGCCTGTGCAATGTTCTTTTTATAATAAAATGAATTATTATTCTTTATTATGAAAAATGAAAACACAAACTTACACAGGATTTCCTTTGGAAATGCATTCCAGTTTAAAATACTGCCCTTCTTGAGGAAAAACCAGTGGGTGGGTGATTTCCACATAGGGGGCATCTGTAAAGAATAAATGACAAGGCAGTTTGAAACCTATACAGACGATATTGTTGTGAAACAATCTAGCATACCCATGAAGTCTTAATTATCGTATTCTAGATTTAAGACAATTCTACAGATTATGAGGGAACTATTTTTGTGTTTTAGACAAGTTTTTCATTCTACCGATGAGATTCAAGAAACTTCTTGACATGTGAATCTGCAAGACGACCCCAGACCTCTTACTCCCCTTATCCTGGTGTCTAACTGGTACAATGCCAGCAGCCAAATAGCTTCCCACACAAGTTTTCACAAATGGCACCTCAAGCGCATTGAACTCCTATTTGCCATCAGGACCAGCACTTTTAAAGATAAGTGTGACTTACAGTGCACCTCCAGGACCTGAGTGGTTTGCTGTGGTGAGGTGTTCAGGGCAACGTGGTCTACCCTGCAGGTGTAGGCAACTCCGTCATCATTGCGATCCACCTGCAGCTGCAAGGTACTTGTCACCGTAAAGGTCTTTCCACTGGCATTCACTTCCTTTGCACCTTGGGAGTTTCAAATAAAACATACTTAAATAAAACCAACAACACTTACCTTCACAGATGGGCTACACTTTCAGGTCAAAATATTAGGAACCCCTACCGAAGTGTTGGGCTTCTGTGAGCAGCATATATAGTACAGTTTGAAATGGACATGTCTTGTAGTATGGACACCATAATGTTCTAATAATTTGTATCTCAGTTTGCAGTCTCTAGCAAATACTTTCATTTTTGATAAGAGTAATGATATATGCGACTGGAATATACAGTATCTTCCACCTGTTTTCAAAAGGGCAGAGACCTGAGCAGACCTTGTTTTTAACGAGGAAGGTGATGGAAGTCTCCTGCTCCTTAAACTAACGAACCATACTGTACTGTACATATCTTGCCATGGGGATTGCAGTATATTCATTTTACTGGGTTGTTTTCCTGATATTTTGCCCAACACTTTTATATACTCAATGAACACAGTTGCAGACATAATACATATCTGAAATTATTAATTACTAACTTTGGAGATGCAATGAATAATGAATGGTTATTGTTATATATGATAAATACATTATGAGATTCTATAACACCTATTCATCCCAGCAAGTCAAAGATAAAATAATCTACTGAAACACTGATGTAAGACAAGGATATACATGTACTTTCTTTCCTGTACTCTGTTTTATATATATATAGATTATATAATTTTTTAGATCTTTAACAAATATCTAAAATAGGTCAAGTAGACCTTAGGTATGAAGTTACAAATCTTTCAAAAGGGAACACAAAATAATAATGTTTTAATTTTCCCATACTAGCTAGTTAGCTTTTTGGATACAATTTTAGATAAGGGGCAAATGTAATATATAACGTGTTTATAAAATATTTAAAGAAGGTGGAGCAGTGGTACAGTGGTTAGCTTTGATGCCTCACAGAATTGGTTCAATTCCAGAACTGGGCTGCTATCTGCATGTTTGTATACTCTCAGTATGTTCACTTCAGTTTCCTCTAGGTACTATACTCTAGTATCCTGCCACATTCCAAGAACATGCTGGTAGGTTAATTTGCTTCTGGGAAAATTGATCTGGTGCGAGTGTGTTCACGTTTGTGTATGTGTCTTTGTGTGTGCCTTGCGATGGATTGGTGACCTGTCCTGGGAGTACACTGCCCGACCCCCATGACTGTGAATTGGACAAAGATGTTAGAAAATGGATGGATGGATGGAACTCTTAAAAGAGTGAGATACATTTTGCAATAACTAAATAACTAACCTCTGTAATAGAATAACTGGATATTATTAACAAAGCCATAATCCTGATCACAGCCTGAATCAAACCCCAAACCCTAAACCAATTTTTATTTTTATAACCATTTTAACAGCATTAGCACTATTAATGTAGATCAAAATGAAAGCGTCGCTGCTTTTTTTTCCAACATTACCTCCAAAACTGGAATGCTGTGCTCAAACATATCAGAACAAGCAAAAAAAGCTTTCTAAGAATAAACTTGAAGTTGTCATGCGACTGATGGCAGTATGATGGGAATCACATTGGCTTAACCTCTGACTGATCTCACCAGATGTGTGTTCAATAGGGGGTTACTGTAATATAGTGAGGGGTATAAGCTTCAGATTATTTTTATTTACAGGCTCAGAGAAACAGACTGAGGCTCAGCAGGTCCACATCTGTGAGAAACCAGCGGTAGAAATCATTACTAAAGGCAGTGAGTGTGGATTAAACCAGTAATATCCATGTCAACTATGTGTGAAGGCTCAGGTGCTCCAGAATATTGAATGGCTGAATTATTGCATTACTTTAAAGCTCTACCTCAAGTGAACACAAGCAGCTGCTCCCTGATTAGTACAAAGACAGGTGCGCAGTATGATGATTGTTCACTACCTGTGTTGGAACCCCTACAGAAGAGTGGAGACTGAACATTTGGCATCTTAAAACCTAGTGTAGAGAGCCTTAATAATCAGGAAATGACTTTGGGGAAACATAGCCAAAAAGACAAAAGTTCATTTTTTTGTTTTAATAAAATGTATATGTAAAATAATATAATATAATTATAACAAAGGCAAGACACAAGAGTTGAATATTTCCAGTGTTCAACACCCTGGGCTATACAGGAATGGAATAACTACCCTAAAACCATGGGTGGAAACTACTGTATCTAACTGCAACAAACATCAGCAAACACTGGGGTTTGCAGTGTTTCTTTTCTTGGTTATTAAAGACTTGTGAAGAAAATATTTGATTGAATAAATTCATAAGTGTGGCCAGTCTGAGAGTGCTGTGAATGATTCCTGATTAATCTGCCTTTAAAATCCACTGTAGATTTTAGGGATTTTGGTTTGAGTTTCTTATTTCTGAGGATTTAGTTTCACAGAAACAAGACAACAGTAAAATAGCATATACTAGCATATACTTATTAAATAGATAATTTAATAAGGAAACATTTTATAATAAGACACATTGTTGTCACTGTTTTTGTTCTAGAAATATGGGACCTAGTCTTCTAGGTTCTATTTCTCTTAACTATGTCTTTTATACTATTTCTCTTAACAACAAAATCTGCAAATGAATACTATCAAGTGCAATCAAAAAGGATATCAGTTTCTCTGCACTGCTGGGGTTTCTTAACTGGATTTGTTGCTTGCATTTCTTAATTGTACTGGCTAAAGATATTTAGGAACTCTACAGGGCAATAGACATCCATGACTTGGCTTGGCCACAGAAACTCTAGGTCCAATAAATAGAGAGGTTTATTTCATAAAACTTTCAGGTGGCTGGATTACCCTTGCCAATGCCCTAAATGAAAATACTAGTTTCATTGCAGTCAAAAACAGAAAGGCTCCTTTGTCAATTTGTAAAATAAGCAAATACTGTATTGTCAAGTTAAATCAGTACTAGTGGTAGATGAGGCTAGAATGCACAACTCTATAGAGAGTAACTTCTTCTGTCTTTAGAATTTATTTTCCACAGGCAAAGATGTGTTTCAGGAATAAAAGGTTGACTTATGAAGGTTTCCTTGTTCCAAAGTGCATTTAATCAAATTTACACCTTAATCTGGTCTCTTTACTGCAGCAACGTTCCTTTAATTATGTAGAAAAAAATGGAAAAATTACCACTTAATTAAAATCCTAAATTCTCAAGAGCAGAGATAACGTTTACTTAGTTTCCAAAAAGAAATGTCAGTAAATAATAAATTTATACCCTAGGGGTTATTAACAAGTTGAAAAATCCCTTATGTTAAAGTACTGTACATAACAATAGGAATCATTCAAAGGCTAAATTGTTTAAACCAATCTTGAATACAGTTAATAAAGTCATATAGAACTTAACTACTGTACAATATCAGCACAGAACTACTGTTAATACCGTCTAAAACCTATTATATAGAATCCAATAACACACAAACTATATTCATGATCTGTTGTTTCTACACATATCAGTGTAAGTCAGAACGTAAAGACTTTGATCATTAGTAACACAAAAATGTCCAATGAATTGGCACTTCAACTGATCACTCTTTTGCATTTGAATTCTCTTCCTCTCTCCTCATTGTCCTCATTGGGTTTTTGTCTGATCATGCGGATGACAGGTGCTTTACCCCTTGCTTAGGACTTATCTCTGACCAAGGATGCTAAGAATCATTGACTTAATGATAAAGACAGAGGTGTCACAGAGGTTGAGGGCAAAGGTCTATAAACAAAGTGATGTGGCATTGCAATGGCAAACACTATTGGTACTGTATGTATATCACTTGGCAGTGTACCAAGTCAATATTTAAATGATAAACTCACAAATTCTCCCTCCTAAAGTTTTGATTTTAATATGCTTACTATTATCTGAAAGTTTGTCTTGCAGGAATTACACATTTTATTAACAGAAGATGGCTCTTGTTTATAAATAGGATTATTAATGTAATTTAAATTATACAAGGTTAGTTTAAAACATAATGAAAATACAAAATAACCATGGTTCTGTGGTACCTGTTATTTGAAATCAACAAAATCAAGTAAAATACACCATAAGAATAATCACAGAGAACCACTTTAAATCATTAGATAAAATCAACATATTTTGAATAAAACATGAAGTTTGTAATTCCCATTTTGAATTACTGCTGAAGCACAAAAGATGTCATTAACAACTACCGAGAAAGAAAAAGACATTTAATCGCTTTTTCAGTTAAATTACAACATTTAATTTAAATTATAATGAAGGCTAAATATCAAGGTCAACCACTAGAACACTCTAGACAAAATAAAGTTTGTATTTGCAACTCTGTACAGTGTGCAGTACAAACATATTCTGTTAACAAGGCAGGATTAAATGAGATTGAAATGTTATTAAAAGTGATTCATCTGTGTTAGCAGCAAATTAAAATAAATATTTCTAAAGCTGTTACCATTCACGCAGGATCTGGAGACTGGAGTCTTTTTAATATTATTTCTTTCATTCATTCTGTTATTGCTTATATTATGCTTGAACGTTTCTACACTTAAGAATGACAGGCGCAACAAAGGAATTTATTCAGATACTTTCTACATTAAGGATTTTGTTTTATTTTTTAGAGTTTGAGCTGGTTTCTTTACAAAGACTAAAAGTTACACAAGTTGAGAAAGGTCAGGATGTATAGATCTGTACGAAATACAGGATGGCTTTGTAAAACTGATTTAAAAAGGAATGGAAGAAAAGTGGATTTGAGAGGGAAAGAATCACCAACCATGAAGAGCTTCTGACATTTCACAAACTAGAAGAGGTCCTGAATAATACCAGAGGATTATATAGGTCTAGTATTTTTTCCCAGGTGGCTTCTGAACCACACAGAACAATCCAACTTTTTAGAGTAACCATCACCTGATTATAAAGATGAATTAAATACCTTGTTTTAGGCATTATTTTGCAATGAATAAGACACAGTCTTGTCCTCACTTAGTTTATAATGAAAGAAGTGTGCTTGCCTCACTGGTAATATACATACTATAACATGAAATAGAAGACCAGGTA